ATATATATATATATATATATATATACACATAAATATATAAATCAATCAATCAATCAATCAATCAATCTCTTAAACTCATAAACTCACCTGGACGCCAACAAAGGATTCATCATCAATGAAAACGTTCCTCAAAGAATTCTCGATACGGTACTTGACTCCACGATACTCGCTGCTCGTCTTATCTGTCAGCTGTTCGCTCCAATGCAAGGAAGTAAAGCGAACACCCATCTGAAGTTTTATTAACTCGTCTTGCTTTTCAATCACTTCGCATCTTTTACCCGTCAGCCCACGCGGGCACTTGCAGTACGCATCTGCCTTCTCAATACACTCAGCTCCATTCTCACAGGGAAAAGAATCGCAGATTTTTATGCAGGAGCTTAGATTCGTTGCACCTTGAACCTTGGAGATATTACTGGGACACTGTTGGCATGACGACAGCGTGTGATTGACAGCTGACTGGTAAGTTCCATTTGGACAAAGTTGACAATTTCCTGTACTCTCAACGTACTTCCCCCGTCCGCACACGTACTTAACACAAGCAAGGACACTTGTTTCTCCTGCGGACGTAGTGCTCATTCCGGGGGGACACGAAAGACATGTTTCCTGAGCTGTCTTGTTTTGGTAGGATCCTTTAGGACATGCCTCACAGGTTGACGTAGTCGAATTGAAATATTGTCCAACTTTGCATTCTATCATGCATTGGTTTTCGCTCACTGCACCTTTTTTGTACGTTGCGTTTTTGTTTCCACACGTTTTGCACGAGAGCCTCAAATGACCACCTTCGTCCATGTACGTTCCCAACGGACACAGCGCGCAGGAACTGTTCTTAACACTAAAATATTCACCTTTTCCACACGTATCAATACATTGGCTTTTGTCAACTGCGCCTTCATTTTGCGTTGTCTGATTGGCACCACATTTGTTGCATGATTTTATCAAATGATTATTTTGTTCCATGAAAGTTCCCGAGGGACACTTGGGACACGAGGCATTTTCAGCAACGAAAAATTCTCCAGGTTTACATCTGTGAAGGCAGTGGTTTTCGTTTCCTGCGCCTTCTACATGCGTGGTTTTATTGTCGACGCATTTAATACAGGAAAGCAGTAAGTTGCCCTTCTGGTCCATGTAGGTCCCTACCGGGCACTTGGAGCAAGAGTTGTTCTGGGTATTGAGATATTCTCCAACATCACACTTGCCTAAGCACTGTGATTCATTTATTGCGCCATGTCCTTGCGTTGTTTTATTTCCCGCGCATTTTATGCAAGATAAGATTAAATGCCCATTCTGATCCATGTAGGTCCCTACCGGGCACTCAATGCAGGATTGGTTTTGCACATCGAAATAAGTGCCCATGAGGCACGTTTTGATACAGTCGTTTCGTTCAATAGAACCATTTTTAAGAGTGAAGGTTCCATCTCGGCATCGTGTGCAATTCAACTGGTTGACTTTGTCTTGGTAGCTTCCAAGAGGACACTCGAGGCACTGGCTTGTCGTCGAGTCCAAATAACGTCCCTTTGGACACGAGGTCACACAATAATCTGGGGCTGTACTACCATTCTCATAAGTGACCTTACCTAGGCCACAGTTTTTGCACCTCATAAACAAATGATTTCCTGATTCTTGGTAAGTCCCCAGTGGACAAGACAGACATTTTTGATCCTTCAAGCTGAAAAATGTCCCCTTTTTACAAGGCACATAACACTGATCCATACCTGTGGCCCCTGGATATGGGGTCATTTTTCCTTTGGGACATGCAGAGCAGTTGACATTAGGCACGTCGGTACTATTTTGATAGGTATCGTAAGGACACCACTGGCAAAAACCGGTCGTCAGATTTAACCCTTTTCCAACTGAACAATAAATCTTGCACAAGTCTTTAGATGAAGGGGTGATCTTTTGGCTTTCGTCAGGAGAACAGGTCACGGAGCCCTCCAAAGAAAACGTACCATTGGGACATTTTTCACACTTGAAGGCGCTGTAAAACCTACCAGCAGGGCACTTAGAGCACACAGGATGACCAATATCACCTGCATTGAGAAACAAAAACAATCCACTAGGACACTGTCTTTCTACGTTGTTTTCAGCTTTGTTTAAAGCCGAAGTGTTCTTAAGTATGTTATTAATGAAAGCAAATAATTGTTCTTCGATACCCTTGGAAGTTGAATTATAAACGGTAAATAGATCGACGACAGTCGGTTTTTCTTCCACGGATTTTGACTTCGTAATGGATTTATCCTCTATTGTGATAGACACAAAAGACGAATTATCATTTTCAACACACTCAATAACCGTGCAGTTACTGGCATTATGTTGTCCAAAACACTGTCCATTTGCTGAGATATTTTTGTTGTCTTTAAAATATTCATTGAAAAACGTAGAAATGTTATCCTTGGTCGATGCTGTGCACAGGGAAGCATTCGCAAATGTTAGATTTAGACGAAACACGACAGACGGCAAAATGGTCGATTGGCAACCAAAACCATCAAGATCTTTATCCCATTTTCCATTCAATAAACTGCACGAGAAATTACCAGTCGACTCTGTCAAGTCTACGAATCCATTTTTACAAGTAGCTTCACATTTTCTCACACCAAACGACTCCCAACATTGTTGAACGCCGTTTTGAATGCCACCACAAGCGCACGTGGTCTGAAATGGTAGTGAAATAAATGTTCCACGACGAACAATATTTTCTGTTGATTTCGCTGATTTTTCTACCCTCAGGAGAATTGCCATAACATTCCCAGACGATTCGTAGGTTATTTGTCCTTTTGGGCCCTCGGAGTTGAGTTGTCGAGCATTAAATCCGCCATCAAACACCTGCAAAATATTTTTCCCTTGGAAGACCGCCTCGCTCGTGTTTATAGTTAGTCTCACATGTCCTTTGTCTACATGAATCAAACGTCGACATTCTATCTCGCCTTCCGAGCCAACCTCAGAAATATTGAAGAAAATACTTCCATCCTTCGAGGTGATATCTCCCAATCCACAGAGATCAAAATCGGCTGCAAGAACGCCATCCAAATGAGCAATCGATACCAAAATCAAATACAAAATAAAATTCTCTTGAATGGCCATTTCACAGTTGGTGTCCCTCAAATTAAATAAGCTTAACAGTGACCGAAAAAAAAGTACTCAAAAGAGATTATCTATCATAAATTTTTTGTGCTGTGTTAGAACGAATATGGTAGAATTAACTTCTCCTGTTTCGATCCTATGCCACGTTTTGAACGTGAATTGAAAAGCGTGGGCCTTGGAGATGCACTACGAGCTTGCGTGCGCCGTGCTCGTTAATATTCATGAGACTACGCTAAAAAAAAAACCCGCAAAAGCCCTTCCAGCTGTCCAAATAAAGTAAACACTAAAAACTTAGAGACCCAGGTTATCAATTATTGAATAACTTTAATGGAAAGGAATCAATATGATTTGTTTTTTGACAGAATTTTATTGAGACGTGGATCATACGAAATTTGAATTTTTTCAGTTGATTTAATTTGAGAGTAGCACGAAAAGAGGTTTGGGGGGAATCGATCATATCAAGAGTTAACGCTTCAATTTTAGATGTTAGTTCTAAATTTTTCTTTCGCTTTTCTTTTCCTTTTTTCGATCTTTACCCTTTTATCTATTTCTTTCCATTTCTTTCCATTACTTTACTTCCTTTCTATCTTTCATTCATTCTTTTTCTTTCATTCATTCATTCTTTTTCTTTCTTTCTTTCTTTCCTTCCTTCTTTCTCTCCTTCTTTCTTTCTTTCTTTCTTCATTTCTTTCGTCTTTTCTTCCTTTCTCAGTTTCTTGTCTCAAAAATAAGTACTCAACCAAAAAAATATATGATTTTGTTTTACCACTCATAGTTTAAAAACAAAACACTCAGACTTTAATATATTGTCACACACAAATAACATACTTACGTTCTTTTTGACAATATCCCTATATTATAAAGTCTTAGAGCAGAAACTTAAGTAAAAAATTATCCTAATTGGTTCTCATTTTAACGCCTTTAAATAGTTTGGCCTAAAGAGAATTACTAATGATATTAGAACACACAAAAAGAATTTAAGCACTTAGAATAAAGTTATGACTCACTAAAAGCAATAGTATCAAAATATCATTCAATCTTAGTTTTTTAAATGGGTTTCTAAAACATGTTTGTTCGGTCTTCATTTCTAAACAATGAGTGATAAAATATAAACTATTTCAGACGTTTCCCGGCTATTTTTATAGCTAGGAGTTATATGGCTTGTCTGGAACAGAATTCTGTCTCTGAAGTAAATGTTCTATAATTTATTAAAATTGAAAACTTCGTCACTAAGAGTAAAAAGCTTCAAAAATTTGAAGAAATACGTTGAAATTTTACATAAATTATCGATAAATTTGAGGGTTTTTGGCAACATATTATCGTTTAAAAATATTATTGTAAACTTGAATACAGTTTACAAACATTCGGAATAAAGACAAATATATTTTAATTTCGTTAAATTAATTATATCTTTTTCTCTCGCTTTACTAAGCAGTGTAATACAATTGTCATCTAGCAAGACAACGCGTCTCTTTTAAGACGAATTGCACTCAAAATCAAACTAAAATAGTCATTTTGAAACGCTATTTCAAAAGAAAAACGAAGGCCATAATTCAAAAATGTCTGAATAAGATGCTAATATGAAATAAAGTAGCCTTTTGTGAATACTTCTTTGTAAAGAGTTAATATTTTGACTCGAAAAGCACATGAATGACAATACAACAGGTTTCCGAGCAAACGCCGAGATGAAGAGTACCGATTAAGGAAGCACGTTTTGGTCGAGAATACTATAAATATTGGTCACTTTTTTCTTTTCTTTTAAATACTTGATCATGCAGCTTTGCTTTCTACTTTAAGTTTTGAAACTGAAAAATTGTGGGATCTTTAGCGTTCGTCGAAGACCGGAAAGCGAGTTAGAAATCAAATTTTCGTTGACAGCTAAAAATGCGAAACGACAAAGTCCTTTTAGCAAAAATTTTTGAAGAAGCTTTATTTAATTACTGCTGAAAGCGAGGTGAAAACTTTGACTACAAAATCTAATAAGGTCGGCGACTGTATTATGTACAAAAGGAAGTTGGAAATGGCTTAATTTTGATGACATGTTTTGGACTTTTCCGAAACAAAAGATTATCTTGTATATCCTGAACATCGGATAAAGATCAAACGAGATACTACAAATGCAACGATATTATCTTACAGAACCTTTTTAAGAGAGGAAAGGAGAGGAAATAATTTAAATTTCTAATAAGTTTGGCAAAGCAAAGAAAATATTCCACTTTGAATGCCTGCTTATCAAAAGGAAGCCATTTGTAAGCACACTACTGCATTTAGTCAGGAAGCCATTTCGATGTGGACTTGACTTCCGGTGACAGCGCCCAGCGAAAACCACGAGGGAAGAAAAGGAAAATGAAAATGAAAAAAAACGAAAACAAAACAAAGAGAAACAAATGAAGGAAGAAACGATAAAAAAACAAAAGCGAGTACCGAAGTGAAAGGAAGAAAGAAATTAAGACAGGAAGAAAGAAAAAATAAATAAAAGGACAAAATAAATAAATAAATAAATAAATAAAAATAAAAATAATAATAAAAATAAAATAAATAAAAATGAAACAAGACAGAACAAAACAGTTAAATTATAACAAAAATCAGAAAGAAAAAACATGGTTATTTCGAAAAATATCATTATTTATTTCATCGACGTTAAAATCATCTATAAATCTAATACAAAATTTAAGCACTCTAACTAGAAAATCATTCGTACTTTGACTATAATTATGACTATTATTTATGTGAAGAGAAAAGGCTAGATTTGAAGAAACTTTTAACGGTTAGATAAAGCTAAAAGGGTTTGAAAGCATCAACTCTATAGCACTCTGAATATGTCATTTTACATTTCCTGTATCAGAAGTCGCTATTCTACACTTTAAACACCGATAGGGACTAATTTCATTTTTTTTTAATTATGCAATTTTCCCGCAGTTTTTTTATAAAATTAAACCTAAAAAAAATCATAAGGCATTGAAGCATATATGTACACTATACCTCAAATAAAATATAAGAAAAAAGATATAAATATGTATAAGATATTGGTGTAAATAATATGGATGTTGACTCGTAAGCTAGGATCAATACTCGAAGATATTGAAACTAAATACTATTCATCACTAGGTTATCTTATCTACTCAGTTTAGAAAAAAACTGAGGAAATGAAAGCTCTAGTTTGACAGTTTTTTTGAATTGCTTCTCAATCAATTCACATTTGCAGTAAGCATCACCGTTCTCAATATACTCAGCTACATTTTCACAAGGAAAAGAGTCGCAGATTTTTATTCTCTACTTTCACATTCCATAATATTTTGCGTCTTTGGGGGGTAACCAGAGGGTAAAAACCCACTTATTTTGCTGAAGGCTGGTCAGACAATGTTGAAAATACCTTGTTTGGTATCCAAAAAAAGAAAATGAAAAAGTAAAAAACAAAAAAAACAATAGAAGCTTGAAGACGTTTAAGGTAAATTTTAAACATTTTTTCGTAAGTCAATACATTTTCTGTAAGACCAAAACTCTTGATGATCTGTACACGCAAAAATAACTTGGAACAAACTGATAATCAGTATTGTACAGATAAAAGCAGGTATAGTATGAATTCAATTAAGAAACCTTTCAATTTGGGACAGTTTTTTTGATTGGTTACCCCTCAAAGACGCAAGGCATTATGTGGATGTGAAAGTAGAGAATACAGGAATTTGAATGCGTTGCATTTTGTTGGCATGACGACAGCATGTGATTGACAGCAGGGTTCTTACTTAATACAGTAGTATGCATCGAATGCAAAACTGGTGTATTGATTTTTAGGTATTCTTCTCATTGAATACGATCAATTTGTACAAAGGCCGGTTTAGACGGTACGATTTTCGCCTACAACTATCGTATCAAACACGCTCGCGCCATCCTACAACTCGAGTCGTAGCGTGTAAATCAAGCCTACAACTCGCCTACGACAAACGCGAGCGTGTTGTATACGATAGTTGTAGGCGAAAATCGTACCGTCTAAACCGGCCTTAAAGACACCCTGACCGCTGCATGCACATAGTTCTATAATTTTTTTCAATAGCTGCCCCTTCGGCATCCCATTATTTCTTGATTAGAACAATAGAAATTCAAGATGGCTAAAGCTAGCATCCGTTAAAAAAGTCTACATTATCTTAGTTACAAACTAATGAAAAGCCAAAAGCACCTTAACTTTGATCATTAGAGTGCATACCATATATCAGTGAAAACGTTTTGTACTTACTAGTAGACCTGATTCGTGGTGTGACAATGTTTTCCCAATTCAGCGTGACAAACCTCCAGGGGATTCATTTTCTTTTGTTTTTACTCTTTGAAAAATTCATGAGTATCCCAAAGGATACGAAAGGAATAACGGTGATATCCCGACGAGTTTCAATACAATAGCTCTTCATTCCCCCAGAGGTTTGTCCCGCTTAATTGGGAAAACATTGTCACACCACGAATAAGGTCTATTTGTGCAAATTCTTATGAAGTTTTTCAGATAGATCGGATGCAATTAAACCGTGAAATAAAATCAAGCTAAATACTAACTAATAGACTCTAGTATCTATTTAGTGACTAACAGTCACTATTACTCAACCAGAACATTTATTAAACAAAAGACACAAATGGTCTCTTGTGTATTTGTCTTTGTATGATGAATGTTCTGGTTGAGTGATAGCAACTATTAGTTACTAAATAGATACTATTAGTTAGTATTTAGTTTGATTTTATTTCACGGTTTAATTGCGTCCGCTCTACATAGTATGCACTCGACCCTATATCTGCGAAAAACAAAACTAACAAAATTGTACAAATTATTGCAAAGTTTCGTACGTCTATGATCTACTGACCTTAATAGTTTCTAGTGCAAATTTGTGCAATTTCTTACAAGTTTTCCCCAGATATTTGGTGTGCACTCTAGCCTGATGCTTTTGGGGGCAATTCTGAGTCGTGTGATTTTTACATGGGTTTTGAAAAAGTGCTTTTGGGTTAAACATAACTGTACAAGAATAAAAAATGTACAAATCTTTAGCGGCAGAATATTCAGTCATCAAGTGTCTCCTGTCATGATGGCGAGAAATTCTTCTTCGTTGACTAGAAAAAGAAAGAAAAGATTTAAAAAAACATTTATGAATATTTGACTGAAATATAATCCTAAATGGATCTCCTTAATTGGAGTCATTCTCTTGAGAATAAGATTCTTTGTTTGAGTTGTATCCATATTCAGGTGTTAATATTCAATTTGCTAACCAAAGAAATTATACACTACTTTATTATAATGGTATATCATGTGTCTGTAATGGAAAAAAACATTAAATACCCAAGCTAGAGGATGTCTATCCTATTGGGTCGCCCTGACTTAGATTAGCCCAGAGGTCATTTCAGGGTTCGATCTGTGAGTTAGCCATGCCCTGACTTAGATCAGCCCAAAGGTTGTTTCAGGGTTCTATCTGTGA